AAGTTTTTACATATATACTTCATGTCTGCACACTGTGAGCACTTAAAGTAGAATATATTGCCATTTGTTCCATTAAAGCTGATTCAGAATCTGTACTCAACTTCAGTTTGATTAATCTTATTCAATTAATTGTAAATTTGCTGCTGTCATCTTAAAGAACTTTAGTTATAAAAATACATTTATTCCAACAATACATTAAGGTTTGAAGTAAATCAGCTTACATTCCAACATGATCTCTCTTGTGAAACAAAATTTGAGCATTTGTAAGAAAAGTCTTTCTTATCAGTTCAAAGACATATAATAAAAAATGAACTACTGTACTATGGTTCTGTACTTATATATATATTTATTTATTTTTTATTGGTAGTAAGAGGATGTGTTTTAGACTGAATTTATGGGATTGGTGTAAAATGAACAAATTAATGAAAAAAATTAGCCAACTGTCTTCTAACAACTTATTAAAAATGAGCTAAATATTTTTTTGTAAAAAGAACCAATAAAATACAACTTCACTGGTTGTCTGTGTTGGCCTTTTTTCCTTTCCAACTTTTTAACCGACAGTTTGTATAAATTCGCACGCTTCCACTTAAGGCATGTGGAGAAGCCCGCTTGTTGTGAAGCACTCTTCTTTGAAATCCTTTAGGAAAATCAGGTCGATTTTTATCTAAAACTGAATCCAACCTTTGAGTCTTCAGGGGCGATGAAGACAAAAAAAAAGAAAAAACATAAATAAACCCTTTCATTGTTCCACCATGGGGAAATTTACTCTCTGCATTTAACCCATCCCCTTGGGGAGCAGTGTGCTGCCATTGTGCGGCGCCTGGGGAGCAGTCTGAGGTTAAGGGCAGCTGTGGCTACAATGTAGCTTGCCACCATCAGTGTGTGAGTGTGTGCGTGAATGGGTGAATGAATGTGGTGTAAAGCGCTTTGGTCAAGTCTCCTAACTTGAATAAAGGCGCTATATAAGTACATGCCATTTACCATTTACCATTTACCAAGGGTCTTGCTCAGGGACCCAAAGTGTGAGAGAGGGGGAGAGGGTTTTAATCATTTGAAAACCTCATGCAAAGGCTTCAGGACACATATGACACTTAGAAAATGTTCATAATGTGAATTTTGCATAACGTGGGTCCTTTACATGATACAGATGCAACTGTTAGTGTGCACTCCTCTTTAACCCACAACACAGCCATAGTGGCATATATAGTGTATCCCAGTATTGCCTGTTGAGCATTTTCTACATACACCAAGCATCATATAAGATGCACCTGGGTTGTGCTTAAATAGATAGGAGCATTCTGCACAACAGAGGTCTTATTTTATATATAATTTACATTTTATATTTAAATAAATACCGTCAACCTTTTTAAGAATCAGTTAATACTAATAAATCCTAATAGGCTTTTTTTGTACAATTGCAAATAAACAGAGAGTGAGGGGTTAAATCTCATTGCACTTTGGGTATTTTTGCCTCTGAGAAGTTATTTTTTTAGTTGCTTGTTCTGCTTTTTTTGCATTGTCATTGTTATTGTGTGAGAGAGATAAAATGCATGTGGTAACCTTGACAAAAAACAAACCGAAACACAAACAACAAATGGCATTAAAACAAAAACATTTTATCCTGAGAGAACATTCATTAAAAACCCTTTTTTTTAAATGTCCTGCAGTGGAAGATAAATGGACGGCCTGACAGCAGCTACTGTAAATTACTCAACATGCGAGATAACAGCCCCTGCCATGTCTGGATGTTTTTTTGCAGTGTGGCAGGAGCACGTTCCATCATCAAGCTGCTTCCGTTAGATATCACTTCATGTCCTAAAGCTGCGCTGAAATGCAACACACACATTTTATTTTAGAAGCTTTAGAGACGCACAGGACTCCCTCACACATACGCTACACTTTCACTCAAAGCAGTGGTCAAATGCTCAGCCAGAGGTTTTCTACTGTACTGAGCCAGCACAGAAAGAGAACATATCCTTTTTAGGAAAAGCATAGACGTCCTTATATGGGGATACTTCCTGTCTAGTAACACCCCAGTCTGCTGGCTTGTTTCTTACATTCTTTTCCTTCAGCTCCTTGTTTCTCTGGGAGATTTTCATTTCCGATTTGCTGGCAGGAGCAGCGCAGCGTTTCAGTCTAGCCCGTTGTGTGATCCCCCCCCTTTTCTTAAAAAAAAAAGGTAAAGAAAATACACAAAGCTCTGTCTAGGTTCTTTCCTGCAAACCTCTGCTTTGAATCTGATGTAGTAAAATAATCCTGGCCCGAGACGTGGCACACCTGGTCTTTTCAAGTCCATTACAGACTAAACCTCATTAGGCAGGTGAGAACTCAAAGAGCATGTACTGTAGTCTTTGTTCCTGTGGCATCTGGCATGCATGCACTTTTACTCTATTTGACTCAGGATTTCTTATTTCCCTTCAACCTTGCTCAATGTGCAGATTCAAGATGTCCTGCTAGATGTGAGATAAAATGTTCAGTTCCAGGTAAAAACAAAGCATTCTTGACAAACTGATTCCCCAGTAAGGAAGTAATAAAAACATCAGGATATTCAGATGTTTAATACTCCTTTGGAAGGAACTGTTCAGACTAGAATATGTAATTCTTTTTTTTATCTTTAACTCAATAGTCTACAATAGCTTAAAGGTTTGCACAATAAATAGTAGTCGAGCTAACTTTGGCAGAGTTTCCTATTAATTTTAGATAAAAATGTGAATCAGAGTCAGTTTTGTACTGAAAACCAGAAAAAGTGCAGAAGCTGATGGTACCTAATGCCAGATTCATTCTAGTATAAAGTGTATGGAAAGTTGTATGACTTGTAAATTCAGAGTATACAATCAGCTTCAAACCTAAACATCTAAGTAAGTAAAGTCCACATATTTGCATTGTCATCTTGCTATGAAAATAGCTCAACTGTGGGGGAATAGAGTTTGGTTTCAGAACAGCAAACAAACAGCACCATGAAAAATAAACAAAATACACCCGGCATGTTAATAATAAGGCTTCCAAGTAGATTAAACAACAGCCTACCCTAATGCAACAGTCCATTAAAACTGATAGGCCTCATGTTTGCTCTGCAGGAGCTGCAAAGAGCCACTGCTCAGGTGAGTGAGTCTGTCAACCACACAATAATTAGTTGTGCACTCCATAAAGCTGGTGTTCATGGCAATAAATAGGCTACTGTTAAAATATAAAAAAACAAGTTTGTGTAAGAAGTTGGTCAGATTGGGTCATATAAAATTGTTTCAATCTTTGTTTAAATCTACATCTGTTGGAAGATAATGCAGCACATATATACCATAGTACATCATCCCATGTGCAACTATGGTGTTGACAGCATCATGCGGTAGTGATGCTTTTCTTCAGTGGAGAGACCCTGCTGAACTGGTCAGAGGTGACAGGAAGATGGATGGAGCCAAGTACGGGGAAATCCTGGAAAAGCAAAATTTGTGAGAGCCTGCATAATATTACAAACTACAGGAAAAGTTTGCCTTCCAGTAGAATAAAGAATAGAGGCAGACATTAAACTGAAATGGTTTAAATTAAAGAAAATTCAGAGGTTACAATGGTCCAGTCAAAGTCTATATCCAAATATCATTGAGAATCTTTTATCTTTGCTAAAATGTCAAGATTCAAATAATTTGGGCTGTGCAAGAAGAGTTTGATCTAATGAAAAAATGCATGAAAGAAATGTATTTTTACATAATTTAAAAATTAATTTACCTAACTATCCACAAAAACTCCATAAACTACCGGTACGTATGTCTACTTTAAAAGTATGACTGTTCAGTTTAAAGGCACTTTAAAAGCACTACAATATTAAAAGATATGAAAAGTAATCCAGAGCTAGAATAATGAACATAAAAAAAACACGACAGATACAAGGATTGATATATCTAAATATAGCAACATTATATTAGAATCTTAAATGGACAGAAATAAAGATTTAGATAATCAGTTAATCAAAAAAATAAATAAAATGACCGTATTTATTTTAAAGTTGCTTAAAGGGACAATATCCAGGATTTATAGTGACGCTGTGTGGTGAAGATTTAGACTGCAGCAAACTAAATCTTGTTTCCACTTTTGGGAAAGCAGGAGGAACTGAGGTGGATCATAGAAACTCTGCTTTTTTCTCTATAAAAACAATAGTTTTATTTAGGAAAACTATTCTTGAATTGTTCTCTGCTGAAAAAAAAATCTAGGTCAAATATCATAAGAATTAATACTCAAAATTTGATGAATAGATCCCAATATGGAGATAATAACCTTCGTGCATATGACTACAGCAGTTTCCCAGACGTGACCGCATGAGAACAGAAGAAAAAGCCTAGAAAGTGCCATTTTTCCATGCCTATTTACTGGAATGAGCACCTTGACAGATAACCAGCTCAAGTTAATGGCTGAAATGATTTCCTTTCTGTAACCGCTTAGTGCTCATTTACTAAAGTACCACGGTGTCTGTGCACCTTTGAAGCCAGGGTTCTGGAATGCTGTTGTGGTCTTAAAGTCTTAACCACCTGCTACACATCAAACCGTTTATTTTATGATTGCATGCTTATGCATTTTAATGAGCTTCCACTTGTTGTTTTTTTACACTGTTCCTCCTGTCATAAAGAGTTATTTATGGCTTCACTTTTGAGCTGTACCATCTTTTCCACCTTTTTCTTGTCCTTTTTATAAAACGTATTATTTATAGGTTCTGGCAGCCTGTTTGTGAAGTCAGTCTTCAGGAATTCCCAGTGTGGGGTCCTGAGATTTTTAAACCAGACTTATCCTCCCATCCGAGATGAAAGCTTCTCTAAGAGAGATGGTGTTGTTTGGCTTGAGCAGCAGAGTCTTGCCTTCAGACAGCAGGAATGTGGGATGTCTGGAGTGGGGGTCAGGAAGTGAGGAAAGAATGCCAAGTATGTCCATGTTTGTCCAGGGCTGGCTCTCCATTCAGCCCCCAGTGACGTGACGCGAGGGCCAGGGAGTATAAAGGGAGGTTGAGCATGCAGTCAGAACTCAGATCAACTCCTCTACTGAAGCTGAACCCCAGCTTTCACTAAGAACAGAAAACAGAGAGACTGTGACCGGAGCAGCAGCTTGACAAGAGATCAACTTGATCAGAAGAGGTTTACAGGCTCAAACTCTGAGACGAAAGGAAGACTTTCTCCAGGAAGGCTTAGGAAGAACCTCAACTTATAACTAATAACTACAAACAATGTCTGCTGGAATGAAGAAGATGATCCTTCTCTCTGCGCTGTGCATTTGTTTCTCATACCTGGTAAGCAAAAACAAATAAATGATGTTTTCAAAGTTGACCTTCTAAATATATGTTACAGTTCTAAATTTCAATGTCCAAGCAGATAGTAACCTGTGCTTGTGTCTTTGATCCCAGGCTGCAGGTCAGGAGTGCAGTGGCCAGTGTTCCTGCCCCTCCACCCCGCCACAGTGTCCCCCAGGAGACAGCCTAGTGCTAGATGGATGCGGCTGCTGCAGAGTCTGTGCCAAACAGATGGGCGAGCTCTGCACTGAGAAAGACGTTTGTGACCCCCACAAGGGTCTCTACTGTGACTATGGAGCCCCCACTAATAGACGCATCGGAGTGTGCACAGGTAAGCCCTTTGACTCTTCTTCACTGTTCATCACATCAGACATCCTGAAAATAGGAACTACATTGTGAACTTTTTATTGTATTTTGTACCTGCAGCTCGAGAAGGAGCCACGTGTGTGTTTGGTGGCATGGTGTACAAAAACGGAGAATCATTCCAGAGCAGCTGTAAGTACCAGTGCACCTGTCTGGACGGAGCGGTGGGCTGTGTCCCGCTCTGCTCTATGGACATCCGTCTTCCCAGCCCAGACTGCCCCAATCCAAAACGCGTCAAAGTGCCTGGGAAGTGCTGCGAAGAGTGGATTTGTGAATCTCCTAAAAAGAACACCTTTGTTGGCTCTGCTTTAGCTGGTAAGTGAAAAAAAAAAAAAAAAAAGCAATTTCAGACAGAAATAAGATATACAAAGAGCAGTCATCTAATCAGGTGTGTCTTCATCTGTTTACAGCTTACAGAGAGGAGGAGACCTATGGTCCAGATCCTAATATGATGAGGGAGAACTGCCTCGTTCAGACTACTGAATGGAGTGCCTGCTCTAAGACCTGCGGACTTGGCATATCTACCAGAGTCACCAATGACAATCACGAATGCAGGCTTGAGAAACAGACTCGGCTCTGCATGGTGAGGCCATGCGAGTCCCAGCTGGAGCAGAGCATTAAGGTGAGTTTTTGTTCAAAACATGCCTCTTGGAAAATTTTAAGAACACAATATGATGTATATCACCGACAACATCCCCTAAACCCCCATTTCCTCCTTGCAGAAAGGAAAAAAGTGCATCCGCACTCCCAGAGTCTCCAAGCCCATGAAATTTGAGATCTCAGGCTGCACCACCACTAAGTCCTACAGGCCAAAGTTCTGTGGAGTCTGCCTGGACGGCCGCTGCTGCACCCCACATAGGACCACCACCCTGCCCATGGAGTTCAAGTGCCCCGACGGGCAGGTGATGAAGAAACACATGATGTTCATCAAGTCCTGCGCCTGCCACTACAACTGCCCTGGGGAGAACGACATCTTCGAAGCAATGTATTACAAGAAGATGATCGGAGACATGGCATAAGCCACTGATGGACAATCCGAGCTTATGACTTGAAAACAAACAGAACTCCATCTCGATTTGCAGCTCAGTATATATGCCTTTTGAAAATGTAATTTTCCCATTGAAAAAGTAGCCCGACAGACTCTGAATGGCTCAAGTACATCAGTCAGACAGACTCAGACAAAGGGCTGCGTTGCAGCTCCAAAAGATTTATGCACTATATCTTTTTATTTTTTTAAATGACAAACCTACTGTGTGCTTTCCACCCAATCTAGATTATTTTTCTTGTTATGAATCCATCCATTTTTTCCTTATGCATATTTATAGCATATTTAAACGCTGACCTCTCTAAATGAAGTGTCTAATTAGCCCTGCCTCTCCTTGAGTCCAAAGAGCAGACCTGTAAACTCTTAGCAGCTGTAGAGGGAGCATGCCGACCACAGCAAGCCAGTGTTCCACTGTCCAAACAGGTCTGAATGTGTCCTTGTGTGAGTGTGTGTTAGTGCAGGGCTGAATGTCAGCCTTGTCGATGTGTGTGTGTGTGTGTGTGTGTGTTGTTACAGAGTGGAGGAAAGGTCAAAGCTCCTGTCCTATAAGTGGATGGGAAACAAAGACGCACGCTAAGCTTAGGGTTAGACATGGAACGCGGTTGCAATGGCACTGAGAAAAAAAAGTAAACAAAAGGAAATGTGTTGACTGTAACTAATTCAGGTCTATTGTATAACAAAAAGTAGAAGAACAGACTGGAAGGATTGTATTTTCATTCCTTTTTCATGTTGATTTGTAAATGTTGTACATATTTGTACAGTTTAATTTAATTTAAGATCTCAGTTTGTTCTGCGCTTTAAAAGTCTGTCTATAGTGTATGTTGTCAACTTTATTTTTTACTGTTTTTATTGAGAAGTGTGACAAAAATGTTGCATGTTTCACTGTGTAGCAGGAAATAAAATCTTATATTTTTATAAAAACTAGCTCTCTAAGTGTTTTTCTTTTTCTCAAAACCACTGGCCTTTTACATGTCACATTATACCCACACAGGTCAAAGCAATGTATTTCTGATTAATGTGATAGACTGAAAAATTGTCATGGATTAAGATAATGACGATTGTGAAAGGAAGGTAAAACGTTTTTAGTTTCTTTTTTTCCTGAGTTCTACTTCAGTACTCCTTCATCAACTTTCTGTTTCCTTATTATTTGGTAGCACATTCTAAGTCATTTTATCACAGCTTTTGGATAAGCACCATGTGCATTACACCTAAAATAAGACACAGATTTACCTTAAACTCTATCTAACATCAACTTTAAGATATAACATTAATTGAAATGGAAAAAGAGTAAATCAGTAAAAAAAAAAGCTGGTTCTTCTTTTCAGAGTACAAAACGTTCCAGTACAACCATAAACCATCGTTTAAACCTGTTCCACTGTCAGCTCTCTCCTCTGGAAAAAAAAAAGGGGACTGAAATGGGTTCATATCGCCATCTGGTGCCTAAGAAATCCCCTGCATTGTAGGAGGCACCACCTTAAGAAGAAGCTGTTGGCTTTTACTTCAAATGTGGCTCATAACTTCCTGACACTAGCCACTCTGTGATGTAGAGAAAAAAAATGCTTTTTTAAAACTTCTTAAGACTAGAGCTCATCAAATCTTGACGCATGCTGGGTTTGGTTTTGGTTTTAGGCAAAGACAAAAGTCTTCCCAAGGTTATAAAGGACCTGAAATAGAAACCAAGCCAACAACCACAACCGCATCAATGACCATTTATTTTAGATAATATGTGTTAGACTGCTATCTGTTACTCATTTGTCCTAACTTTTTCTATTATTAATGAGTAAATCGATATGTGTTCACTCAAAATAACTTAGGATAATATATCCTAGAAGGGAAAACTTTAGATATTCTATCCCTTAATTATTATTTCTATGTTTAACTGTTTGGGTTTAACTCTGTAGATGTTCAGTTTCCCAAGAAGCAGATCAGAATTTACATGGTTACTCTCAAAGAACAGAGTAAACAGGTCGTTGTTCCCTAATTGCACTGAATGACACATCTCTAGGTCCCTCGCCTTTAAATAGGGGGAAACATGTTGGCTGAATAAAATACTCCACAATTTAGACAAAAATTCACAAGCAAAACATGTTAAAGCATTGATGTATGTGACTTAAAAAACAAGTCAGGAGCAGCTCACTATTTCAAAGCAGGCTTTTGTATTGAATTAGTCACCGTATATAGACAATCATTTCCTGAAAACTAAATTTACATCAAATGAAAGTAAATTGATTAGAAATTTCACTTTAAAAAAATGCATGATATTTTGGATTTTGCCTGGAGCGCCAAGTGGTTACAGTAGATTCCTGGTAATACATCAGACATCTCGTTCCAGAAATGTGCAGTTCAAGGAAAAGCAAAGATACTGGGCAGAACCCTCAAGTTCCCAAACAGTATATATGTATATATGTATGTACAAGCACAGTTACATTTCAACCATTTCTTGGGCAAATGCAGCTTTGGGAAAGTTTTCGTGCCAAGACAAAACTCACTGTTTCTTTGTGATCAAATGACGTTTAGTCAAACTTTACATTAAAAACCTGGAACTTGAACTTGAGGAGAAATCTTATATAGATCCTAAATGTAAGAAATGTAAATAATTTTGGTATTCAAATATTATTTTATTTTATTTTATATATCTATAATTTTTGCAAGAAGTCATGCGGTTTTGAGCAGGAATCACTATTTAATAGCGTAGCATCATGAGGGAATGCAATATCAGGTTAGTGGAAAACTGCTTAATTTGTGCAATAAATCATGCATTTTCAATTCTGCTGTGTGTCTTTTAACGTCTATTTGGAGCCATGTTTCTGCCTGCCTGGTGAAACAAAGACACACACTTCCTTCAACCTTTTGCAAACTGCTTCCACAGCTTCTACTTTTAGTCAAGCACCCAAATGAACTTCACCTTTTATCTTCCCTCACTGCAAAGCAACAAAAATAAGCAAAAACAAGCAATGCCTATTTTTTTTTTTCTATTCAAGTCATCCTTATCCTAAGGTAAAGAAAAATATTAATTTCAATGCCAAACACTGAGGGCTGAAATGTGCATTGCGCCTGGATAGATTGTGTCAACAGCCAATGTGTCATCTGATGACTCATACTGCTAGCTTTAACACCCACAAACAAACAAAAAAGTGAAAACTTCACCTACTTTCACGGGTGATGCGTCTTTGCAGTAAGATACTAGTCTCACTCCCAGTGTAACAGATTCCTTTATAAGCAAATATTTGTTTTGTGTTGAAAACTTCCAAAAGTGACGCCCTGTGGAATGTTAAATATGCATTAAGCCTCTTCACATTCATTAGTATTCAAAGTTCATCACAAAATATAAAGGATTTATCAAAAAAAGAGACTTCAGGAATCAAATAGTTTATTTTCTTAGAGAAATCCATTACAGTGTTAGAATACAACTCAGTCAATTATCTGCTAAAAATCTAAACTTATTGCCTTGGCTTGATTGTGGTTAGCGATTTATCACAATATGGAACAATTTGTGTGTTCCTTTTTTTTTTTTTTTTCTTGTTAAGCAAATTATCCCAGAAATAGACATATATATACTTAAACAAAGCTTTAGTGTAGAACCTCAGCCTTTATCCTACCTGAATTAGTGCCAGTCTTTCACATCAATCATTTTTAATCTGACAAGCAGACAAGATGCATGTGCAGGATGAACAGATGACTGCCATTAAACGTAAATATATCATAAGGAATTTGCCTTTGCAATGTTGTTTGCACATGAGAATGCATACCCTATGTGGTGTTAGTATGTGGCTCTATGCTGTGTGCAACTCTATGTGAGAGAAAAAAAAACAATGTCAAAAAAAACAAAACAAAGAAGCAGAGCAGCATCTTAGAGGAGAAACATTGACAGATAAAACCTTGTCATACATTTGCACGCTCTATAAAAAAGCCAGACGTCTGGTGAAGCGCAGGAGGAGGAGGAAGGCTAAGGCTGTCGGAGTTTGAGCCACTCTCCTGATTAGCCTCGCCCCAGCTGGTGCAGTTTTTGGGCAACATTTTCAAGCTCCGTCTCGATGGCAGCCAGGCTTTCAATCTCAGGCTCCTGCAGGTCAAATCACAGCAGTAATAAACATGCAATGCAAAGGATATATGTGAACCTTTAATCATAAGCAAGCAAACTCAACATGCAGAGTAACCTTCTTTCCTCTGACTCTCATGAAAGCTGTTTCTCTATTGATATTATGATGAAATCAAGTAACAACAATAACACGTTGTCTTTTCTTTTTGTATAGACTTTAGCCTTTAGTTTAAAACCATTCCGAAGCCATTACACGATACAACAGCTCAGCATCTAAAAATACACGCCAAGCTTTTTGTAGAATGAGTTACACCTTCATTCTTCATATATTACTTTGATTACTAAAGTTCAACAAGGAGGTTGTTTATTTTTCTGAAACCATAAGTGGGTCTTAAAGTACCAGAAGAGGAGGTGAGGTGGAAGGATGGATGGGGAGGGTGAGGGAGGTAAGAAGGGGGTGTAAAAAGAAATCTAATGCAACATGTGTTTAATAAGAGCAAAGCCTACCTCTGACTTTCTGGTGGCGCTTCCTTCTTCCTCCATCACCTCCCTCTCCTCTGGTGTCCCCCTAGCTATCATTTGTAACTCTCTCTCCTCTGGACTTCTCTCTGGATCTCTTTTCTTCTTCTTCTGCTCCGTCTCCTCTTCTTTTGAATGGAGAGATGTTTGCTTCTGGCTGTCAGGCTGAGGGGCTTCCTCTTTTCCAGCTTTCTTCTTGGCCCTCTGGGTCAAGTGATTTAGGCTTTCCCCTCTCCCTCGTTTTACACCCTTGTATTCCCGCTTTTCATCCTCTGCCTTGACATCATGTTTCTGTGAGAAGAACTCAGACCTTTTGTCGCTTTTCTCCTTCTCTCCTGTCTCCCCCATCTTTTGCTCCTGGTTGTCTTTGGATGAAGATCTCTTTTTATCAGAAGGATCACCTGGAAATATCACACACAGTCGTTAGGGACGAATAGAGGGGTAGCAGTCCACACTGTCAGCAAGTTCCTACTTTAATAAAGCATCCATTGCCAGCTGGCAGCATTGTCTTCAGAAGTATCGTCTTGCTTTATATGGATGAATGCTAAGTGAGCCAATTTTTATGTAATATATTTCAAATTTATGGAAATATATTCTCAATTCCTGATGATCATGGTTTAAGATTAACTTCCAGCCAAAAATATGTGCATTGTCTCATTTGAATTTTATCACATGGACAGGTTTAATCAATTCTGTTTGTGTGCTGTCAGTCTGCCAGCCATATTGGCTCCATTCCCTCTGGGAAGTGGAGCCAGAGAGAGTAAAATTCATCATGTATATGGAAGCTCTTCCATCAATCAGCCAGCAGTACGATGGAAGCTGCTGCCATAAACAAAGCCGTGTGTAAGCTCTCTCTCTGCATGCAGTTTTAAGCTCTCCACCTTTAGTCATTGGTGCATATTTATTTGTCTCTTTATGTCTTGACTGAAAAAATAAATCTGTCAAGTTGAACTATCAAACTATGAATATAAAAGTTCAGGTGCAGGACACGATCTTGCCTTTCTTATCCTCCATTTCATTTTCCTCTTCTGAATTCTCCTCTGAGCTTGTTGTTCCAGCATCAACATCTTCAGCCTCTGTAGGTGTCTCATCTTCATCCCTCCTCACATGCTCCTCTTTAGCTTCACTGTCCTCCCGTGACTCTTCCCTGGTTTCATCTTTCTCTTCTCCGCTCTCTCCTGCCCTTTTCCTCTGGGATAGGATGGATCGCTCGCCGGGGCCTCCCAAAGCTTCCAACATGGATCGATCTAGAAAAAGAAATGGGCCGGGAATTTAATTCACTTAAGGAGATTGATTTTCCTGTCATGTTAAAAGCTGTTACCTCCACAAAGGCAATATAATACATGCCAGGTATATCCGCATGGTACCTTTCAAAATCCTCTACTCTGATGTCAGCAAATTCCACCTGTTCTGAGATTAACTTTTGCATTAATTCCTGCATTTATTGCCCGTTTCCCTGTTTGTGAGTTAATGTGAGTCTGACTACAAACAAATCAGATAAGGTTTGAATGTGGGAACACATCATGCATGTCCTCATTCTATTCAGAGAAAACATCAAGAGACTTTCACTTCTTCGCTTTTCACTTTCTGACTCTGGAAAGAGGAAACAATGAAACCTTTGTCAAATAAAATATGGGAGCCTTGAGCTTTTGTCACATACTGCTTGTTTTTTTTTTTTAAAAAAGCCTTATGATAAAAGATCTAAAAACTGTAGCTTTCTTTTGAATTAAAGGCCTTCACTTTCACACCACTAAATAAAACCAATTTCAATCAATTCAAATTGGAGCGAAATATCATTTTTAAAAAACATTAGGCTAACACCAATTATAGCCTTAATTGAAACGTAGCTGATGTAGAGAAGCTGCTCAGAGATGATGGAAGGGTAGAAGGTGATAAATACAGGGCAGTCCTGGAAGAAAAGCTATTAGGGCATGAAAGAGACTGACACATGGTAAATGTTTCAGCAGAACAGCAGCCATGAAGATATGAACATATGACAGAACTTTAACTGAACAGTTCAGATCGAAGCCTAGCTTACATTAAAACGGTCCAATGTGAATCCAATTTAAAGTTAAGATTGTAATTTGATGTTTACTGTTTTTCTACATCCAATCTGTAATGTTGCAACGAGGAATGAAAAATGTTTGGTCTCTTGATGTGCAAAACTACCTCTACTTTATATATCTATATACATATATATGTATATATATATATATATATAGTTAAAGCTGAGACCTCCAGAAGTAGCCGACTAGCTGACGTGAAACCACAAGCAGGACAGTATTGGTTGAAGGAGCTCAGGTAAGAAAGGGCAAGACCATGTCTACAATTAAAGACAAAATAATTAATTTTAAACTGAACTCTGAAATGCAGACAGCACCAGTGGAGGGAAGTCAGGATAAAAGAAGAGCGGCAGCCGTATGGAACAACTGGATACATTCAAGAAAGGACTGGCTGAGTCCTTTCTGAGAGCCTTACAGTTGGTAAAGCTTTGCAGCTTTAATAAAATCTAAAATACACACATCATTTTCCTTCCACCTCACCATGATTTGTCACCTTTGTGCTGCTTTATTGCATAAGATCCCAATACCAGCTCATCTCAGCAAACTGGAACAGGCTTTTCATTGAGGCTCATTTTTCAGAACAAAAGTACACTTTTAACTAAACCTTTGAGAGGCAATGAAACATTTTTAAACATTAATTCTTCAATAAAATGTGTTTTTATTGGTTTAATGTAATTCTAATTCTAAATATTGGGGTTTTTATTAGCTGTAAGTTGAAAATCCTCATAATTAACAGATAAAGCATTTAAAGCTGTCTGGCTCTATTTAATCCTGATAAGGAACTATTTAATTATATATTTTTTTAAATTCACCTGAAAAATTCTAATGAAATAAATTTCCAATAAAATTTTTTTTTATTGCTTTTGGTTGTTTGCTCAGTTGTGAAAAAAAGGTTAAATGCTTTTTAAAACTCCCTCTTTGCTTGATCACTCACCAGCGCCATCAGCTGTAGTATGGAGAGATTGCCTGGTTGGAGCTGGTTTATCAACGTATCTCTGCGGCTGAGTCCTCTCTTGATCACCTTAAAAAAGTAATGAACGAATTATTTCATTTCAATGTCTCCAGCTTGTTAATCCACTTCATCTGCATCAATAAACAGGCACATTCAGGACACAAATATTCACTGTGACTAATCAGTGACTCACCTTGAGCAGCAATCTTCTGCAGCTCTTTTAGAAAGTTATGATGACGGAGGATAGTGAGGAGCTTCTCATCTGCAACAAGCAAATGCATAATATGGTTCAAGCCTATTTTAAAACAACATGAGAGAAGAAAGTCAATAAAAGGTGATTTTGCTGGTAGTAAGTCTTTTCTACTTTTTTAGAGGAGTCAGCGAATCGCATTGGGGATTTCATCGAAGTTAATTGCCTGTGAATTTACTGCTTTCAAAGCAAGAACACAATGAATCATTTGGCTCATAGAGAAAGACTCCCTCTGTGAATTACAGCAGCAGTGAGAAGTGGACTTTCTGCTGACCCACAAGCAGCACTGCACTCCGTAGGCAGCAGCGACTTCTGCACCGAACTGTGCACTCTTTTGTACAATTCTCTGAATCCTCCTCCGTCTCTCTTTTTTTCCCATCCATCTGGTGGTGTACTGTTTCCCTGGATAACTGAGCCTGTTCTGGGCGCTCAAAAAGAGCTGCACTAATCGATTTTTCTCAAACAGCAAGGACAGCATGAAGGTAAAACAATGCCTATGTAACTGAATAGTCCTGGCGACCATGATGTGTGTAAAGCTCTGCAGCAGATCTTCATCCAGCCGTGACCGTGTCAATCCATTACCTTTCAGTGCAGGCATTGTTCCCTCTGATGCAATTGAAGGTTATGTAGTTTTCCAGGCAGTTAATAGTTTCAGTTAGATTTTAGCACTAAGGGGCAGTTTCTGTAGGAATAGTGCGGGAAAATTCAGGATCTCACTACATATAGATATTGCCCTTCATGCTTGAAGCTAAAAATAAAGAGCATTTGTAACTAGTTATTGTAAATCTCAATGAAAAAAATTTTTTTTTTTAAGAAGAAAAACTAAACTCCTGTTTTAACAGCTCTCAATATTTGAGATTTTTAACTGGAAGTTGAAATGCGATCCAGATTAGATCACCCTCCCCCCTGCAAATCAGTAGGTTCAGATTATGAACCAGCTCCAGTATAATAAGCTGAGCATCACCATGAACTGTAAGCCTTATCCCTCATTTAAACACTACACTGATGGCTCTTTTACAGATGAACACAAAGTGAGGATAATTAACCAGATAATTCTGCATTAAGACCAACTGAATTATGAGGACAATATTTCTGCAAACATCCTTCACAGAGTTCTTGGAATAATTTCATTGATATTTAAGCAAGGCTGTGGGCTAAGCTACAATTACTAAATCAATGTTGCTTTCGAGATTTTTTTTAGTTGCTGTAGTTACAAGAAAACTGAATTAGATTTGAAATATTTTATTTTCTTTGCAGTTTTCATCAAAGATACAGCTCTTAATACAAGCAAACCTTGCACATTAGAAAAACAGTCCTTTTAGAAGAAGGCTGCAAATATTCCTCATTTTAAATCCAAAATCTCTTCAAAGTAAATACATTTTATATATTTAGATGCTCTGTTAACATTTCTCTAAAAAACAACAAATACCAACCTGCCTTCAGGGGATTTAGTGGCTTTCAAAGGTCTAATTATGGATATAACTGAGACTAGGATAATAAAAGCTCTGATTAATCATTTTGAAGCGTTTTCTTTAGATGTAGCTTTGTATTTATTTAATAAAATTCAAATAAATATAAGCAAACCAGTTTCCAGCCAAACAGAACAAAATAAAAAGATTCAATAACCTACGGTAAGTGCAAAAGTCTGCACATCCTTAAAGTAGTTTTCTAAGGCATTTTCTGATTTATTTTAAGCAATCAGTGTTCTTGATATCACACCCACCATCAGCTGTTCAAAACTGTCTTAGCTTCAGATATAGTCTGTTGTCTTTTTCTCATTTCTTCATGTCCCTTCTACCAAGAGAGCTAAAATGGTTTCACAAACAAAAATGTACATTCTATGTTGTTTTTTTTTTAAATAGTGGGCGAGATGAGCTTCTAAGATTGTAAGATTGAGTGCACTATTGATAACAAGTACAAAAAGGTTGTCCCTGTCCCGTTTAAATAATGATTTTGGATGTGCTGCTGGCTGTCACCATTGAGAGTTTGAAAGAGAAGAGTGGATTCATTTTGGGTCTCCTGAAGGCAGCCATAATTTTCAACAGCACAGGGCACAAATGGCAGGTATTTTTGCTAAGTGAAGAAGATTCTGCCAGTGGTAAAAAAAAAAAAAAAAAAAGGATCCTCTATGTCATTGTGAAATGAAAAATGAATGAGACCTATTGACTTGCCTATAAGATGACTTGGAGTAATCTCTGGCATCTAAAGCATTCCAACTATCTCAACCAGTCAGTCATTTGTTTTCAATTTGTGGAAGCAATATCTATCAGAAAC